ACCGACCCCTCTCCTCTCCTCCCACCCTCTCTGGTCCCCTGCTCCGCTTTCTCGTGGGACCCAGGCCCTCACGGCCGCAGGTGGCCGCTCCCCTCGCCCTGCCCGGGGTCTCTAGCACCCAGCAGCCCCGACGCCCCGGCCGGCTGGGGCCACGGCTGCCCTCGGCTCCTCGAGCCCCCCGGGGAGGGCCGCGTCTCGAGGGATTCCCTGCCTCTCCCACGTCCCTCCTCTTCCTCCTCCGGGCGGCTCCGGAGCTCCCGCTGCCTTCGTCCTGGGCTCCGGGATGTCGGGGTCTGAGCCGGGCTCCTCCCGCTCTCCCAGCTCTCCGTCAGCCCCCATGCGCAGCCCTGGCCCCGTCCACCTCTCCCCTTCCCTGGACTTTCCTCTCCAGGATCCTGGAGTCCCGGGTCCCTGCGCTCCCCACCCCCTTTCCCGGGCGCTGACAGCCGCTCCGAGTGACAGACGCGCGGCCGCTGCCGCCCTCCCCTCCCCCTCCGCGGGCCGGGCGGAGGAGGAGGAGGAGGAGGAGGAGGAGGAGGAAGAGGGCGAGCGCCAGCGGCGCCGCACAAAGGGGTTGGGGCTACCTCTCCCACCCTTCCCCCAGCCCCCAGCCCCCAGCGCTGGCCGCCTTGACCTTGACCATGGAGACCTGGTGTGGGTCCCCCGCCCCGCCCAAGGAGAAGGACTGTGGCTGATGGCTGGACCCCTGGCACCCCAGTTGTGCGTGCCTGGTTCCTGGGGTGGGGGCGTGAGTTGGGAGAGTAGGATGTGTGTGTAGGGGCTGGGAATTGGAGCTTGCGCCTACACGTGTGACTCTGAGCCCAGGGCAGGCAGGGGGTGTCTGCGAGTGAGAGCTAGTGCATGGGGGGAAGTGAGTGACACCCCCGGTCCCCTTCTTGGCCCTAAGCGGCACACAGAGGCAGCCACCAGTTCTGTGGGGGACACCCAGGACTGGCTGCTGAGCAGGCTGTGGAATCCGTGGGCACTGAGGGGCTCTCTCTAGGTCCCTGGCTCAGATCCCCTCAGGATGTGTGCCACTCCTTGCAAGTGCTGGTTTGGGGGGTCAGGGTCAGCTGCAGTGGGCGTGCCAGGGAGCCGCCTACCGTGTGTGTGTGTGTGTGTGTGTGTGTGTGTGTGTGTGTGTGTGGTGTTCGCCGGATCCTGGAAGGGCAGTCACCTCTTTGGAGAGCGTGCAGCCCTGGGCTTAAGCCCTTCACAGCCTCGTGGGGCGCCCCAGTGCTGCCCGGTGCTGCCCGTGCTGGTCAGGGAGGCTGAGGCGAGGCTTACCTAGGCGATAACTGGGAGCTCCTGTGTGTAGGAGACAGGGGCCTGCAAGAGTGGCCAAGGTCAAGCAGGAGTAACACTTGCTAAGGGTCAACTTAGGTCTGTGGGTTCAATTCCTGCTGGCGGATGGGACCCTCTGGCGAAGGGGTGCTGCGTCTACACCCAGGATCTACTGAAGCAAAGTGGGTGTCCTGGGGTGGGTGTGGGGCAGGGATGGAGAACCTGTGGCTAGAGGAAGTATCTGAGAGGGGGAAGGGGAGGGAAAGGGAGGGTGTGGGCAGGGAAAGGTGGCCAAGTGTCAGGCTGAGCCTGAGTGTGGGGGTGGCGAGGCAGGCAAGTGTTGGGTGACCACTGGAGGAGAGTGAGCCGAGGGTGCCAGTGTGTCCCGCTGAGCACTCTTGGCCCCCCTCCTTTTGGGGGATGGGAGATGGGCGGGTCACGGCCTTACCTGGCTCAGATGGAGCTGTGGAAGGGGCCAGGACTGGAGGGGTGTGCACGCGCGCAGGTGGCCACGAGTGACTCTCGAGCGAGAGTGGGGAATCCATTGACAAAGGAGGTGACCACTCGCAGGTCTTGGCTGTGGGCAGGAGCGCCCCTTGGTGGGCACTGCGTTTGTGGGCTTGTTCGTTTCCCTTAGCCACTGGCACCAGGGTGTGTGTGTGAGTGTATGCCCGCGGCTCAGCTCATCCTGTGCGGATTCCTTAGGGTTGATTCAATGGGGATGCTCCTCTGAGCGACTGAGTCAAACAGTCCCCAAGGGCTGTGGGTGTGGAAGGCCACCTCTGGATGTTCATTCTTGCCTGAAACACAGGTCCCGAAATGGCATTAACTCAGGGGAGAGCGGTGCAGGATGTGGGCTTGCTCAGTGGACTGGCTCTTTAAGTATTTGTTGAGCACCTACTATGTGCAGGCTTTTTAAAAAATTTTTTAAAATTTTTTCAGAAAGTCAGATATACAGAAAGGAGGACAGACAGAGAGGAATATCTTTGGTCCATTGATTCACTCCCCAAGTGGCTGCAACAACTGGAGCTGCGCCGATCTGAAGCTAGGAGCCAGGAACTTCTAGGTCTCCCACACAGGTGCAGGGTCCCAAGGCTTTGGGCCGTCCTCGACTGCTTTTCCAGGCCACAGGCAGGGAGCTGGATGGAAAGTGAGGCCACCGGTATGCGAACTGGTGCCTGGCGATGTCGCCTAGTGGCTAAAGTCCTTGCTTTGAATGTTCCGGGATCCCATATGGGTGCCTGTTCTAGTCCTGGCAGCTCCACTTCCCATCCACCTCCCTGCTTGTGGCCTGGGAAAGCAGTCAAGGATGGCTTGAAGCCTTGGGACCTTGCACCTGAGCGGGAGACCTAGAAGAAGTTCTTGGCTCCTGGCTTTGGATCGGCGCAGCACCGGCTGTTACACTCACTTGGGGAGAGAATCAACAGAATCAGCCTTCTGGTCTCTCACCTGGGTGGCCACCTGCCATTGCCCTCCCAGGTGTGTCAGCCGCAGAGGCCTGGAGCAGGAGCAGATGAGCGGGCACTTCCGGTATGAGATGCTCGTGGCACAAGTGGCGGCCTGACCCATTCCACCACAGTGCTGGCCTCTGCCATGTCACTTCACGGTGTTTGTCAGGTCCTCTTAACACAGTCAACGTACGGGATACTTGCTACCTGCCAGGCACTAAGAGAGGCAGAGGGGGCAGAGAGAGAGAGATGGCATAGAAGTCACTTTATTATTATTTATTTTCCTATTGGAAAGCCAGATTTATGGAGAGAAGGAGAGACAAAGAGAACAATCTGTCTGCTGGTTCAGTCCTCAAGTGGCCACAACCGCCAGAGCTGAGCTGATCTGAAGCCAGGAGCCAGGAGCTTCTTCTAGGTCTCCCACACGGGTGCAGGGTCCTTTTCTGCTTTCCCAGGCCACAAGCAGAGAGCTGGATGGGAAGTGGAGCAGGCGAAACACGAACCAGCACCCATATGAGATCCTGGTGCTTGCATGGGGAGGGTTGGCCACTGAGCCAATGTGCTGGGCCCTAAATATGTTTCTTTCTTTTCTTTTCTTTTTCTTTCTTTCTTTCTTTCTTTCTTTCTTTCTTTCTTTCTTTCTTTCTTTCTTTCTTTCTTTTTTTTAATTTTTTTTAAAGATTTATTTTTATTATTTTTTCATTGGAAAGGCGGATATACAGAGAGGAGAGACAGAGAGGAAGATCTTCCATCCGATGATTCACTCCCCAAGTGAGCGCAACGGGCCGATACTATGCCGATCCGAAGCCAGGAGCCTCTTCCGGGTCTCCCACGCGGGTGCAGGGTCCCAAAGCTTTGGGCCGTCCTCGACTGCTTTCCCGGGCCACAGGCAGGGAGCTGGAAGGGAAGCGGGGCTGCCGGGATTAGAACCGGCGCCCATATGGGATCCCGGGCGTGTAAGGCGAGGACTTAACCACTTGCGCCACCGCGCCGGGCCCTCTTTCTTTCTTTCTTTTTTTTTTTTTTTTAATAAATTAGGACCCACTGCAGTAGCCTGGTAGCTAAAGTCCTCACTTTGCACGTACTGAAATCCCATATGGGCACCGGTTCTAATCCCAGTGGCCCCACTTCCCATCCAGCCCGTGGCCCGGGAAAGCAGTCAAGGACGGCCCAAAGCCTTGGGACCCTGCACCCACCTGGGAGACCTGGCAGAAGTTGCTGGCTTCTGACTCCAGATTGGCTCAGCTCCAGCCGTTGCACTCACTTGGGGAGTGAACCATCAGAGGAAAGATCTTCCTCTCTGTCTCTCCTTTCTGTATATCTGCCTTTCCAAAATAAATAAATAAATGAATAAGTAAATAAATAAATCTTTAAAAAATATAGAATGAATTTATTCATACTTAAGAGAGAGAGGGAGACAGATCTGGAGGGGTCTTTCATCTGCTGATTTCTGCCCCAAAGGCCTGAAACAGCTGGATCCGCGCAGGCGGAAGCCATAAGCCCCAATGCAGGGCTCCCACGCGGGTGTCAGGGACCCACACGCCTCAGGTGTGTACACACCTGCCACCCCTGCCCTGCTGTTTCCCAGGCTGTGCGTTAGCAGGAAGCTCTGGGGGAACCGGCCAGGACTTGGACGCGTGAGTCCCACAGGGGCATGGGATGGGGGCGCGGGCGGCACGCGTGGTATCTTACCTGCTGCCAGACTCCTGCCTCCATCACGTCTCACTCAGAACCCCTCTGGGTTGATTCCTCGCGTCCCCACATCCACCCAAGGCCAGCAGGAGGTGTGGTCGCGACCCCCATCCTGAGCAGGGGTAGAGGACGGGTGTCCGTGAGTGGCTGGGGGAGGAAGTGTCCCCACGTGGGACGGGATGGGGTTGTCTGGGGCTGCTTGGGGTAGGGGTACGCGGCGTCTGGGGCCGCTCGCTTCAGGGCGGGCATGTGGGGAAGTCCACTTGGCAACTCTGAGGAAGCGCTGAGGTACCGCCGGGTGTGGGAGAGTGTGCGCGCGGATGTGTGTGTGAGCCGCCTGGAACCCGCGAGGTGCGAGCCGGGTGTGCACGTGACACGGGGACGCGTGTCTGAGGCAGCGTGGGTGAGCCAAGGCGCGCGCTCCGTGCGCCCCGCAGCGTGCGCCCCGCAGCGTGCGCCCCCTTCCCCGTGCAGGGTGGGAGGTGGGACTACAACTCCCAGCATGATCGGCGTGGGCCCGCCCCGCCGCTCTGATTGGCCGTGGCCCGCGTGCTCCCGCCCCCCGGGAATGAATGGATGGGCGGCCTCAGCGCCCGCCCGACCGCTGGGAGGACCGACCCGGCGGGGACCTGCTGGGGGCAGGACCCGGGGAGCAAGATGGCCACGGTCATCCCCGGCCCCCTGAGGTGGTGCGGGCTGGCGGGAGGCGCGGGCGCACGCGCGCCTGTGTGTGTCTGTGTGTTGGGGGCGGCTGGGAGTGGGGCCGAGGGGGTGTCCGGGGGGCTGTCACGGTGTGCGGGGGTGCGAGTGTGTGTGTGTGTGTGTGTGTGTGTGTTGCTGTGGGTCTCCGGCAAGAATGGTGCCCGACGCGCGGCTTCTGCACGGGCGCGGGGAGGGCGCGGGTGGACTCCAGGGCCTGTTGGGGAAAGGGGTCATCTTCCCCGCTTCGAGGCCCCCGGGGTTTGGGAGAGAGGGGGACAGCCTGGAAATGGGGGTGCCTTTGGTAAACTCGGGAGAAGCCCACACTACCTTTGTCTTGGGGTGTGTAAGTGTGTGTGGGAGAGTTGCATTCCCCGTGTGCGTGTTCTCTGCTGTGTGTTTGATTGCTTTTATTCTGGGTTAGCTATCTTGGGAGATTTGGGTCTTTGCCTGTGTGTCCAGTGGCCTGGGTATTGCTGTGGGCATGCCTGCACTTTCCCGGAAATTGTTGCATGGATACTGGTGGATGTGATGGGTGAGTGTGTCTGCCTGTGTGATATTTTAGATACCTGACTTCTATGTGTATATGCCGTGCACCATGCATGTGTGTGATGTGTGTATACCTGTGTGAATACCTGTGGTCTCTTTGTATTGTGTGTGTGTGTGTGTGTGTGTGTGTGATTGGCGTGTCTTTGGATGCTGTGGGTAAGCGTCTGAATAATTTGGTTTTGCAGTCTCTTGATGTTTGTGCATCTGGGTCTGTGACTGCATGTGTAAGTGTGTGTGCGCGCACACACACGTGGAGTGGTATAGTCTGTTCCTTATGGGGAACCTTTGTGGGTGATGTGTTTGTGTTGGGGATACCTGTCATGTGTTGGGGTGTGAATCCCGGCACCAGGTCACTTGGGGCGTGTGTCTCTCAGGAGACGCTTGTGTGTGCACGTGTGCCGTCGGCTTCTCCTTTGTGAGTGTGGGCTGTGTCTGTCTTTGTGTGTGAAGCCCCTGTGGTGCGTTCACGTGTGGATGGGTCCCGTGTCATTTAATGTTTTTTTGTCTGTTTCAGTATCTTGGGTATGTCCTCCTTAGCTGCACCCCTTGCTTGAGCCCCAAATTGGCGGGCGGGGGAGGAGCTCTCGGCACTGTCCCCCCTTCCCACACTGGGTCCAGCAGGGCCGGGATCGGGGTGGCCCATGGCTCCCGCGGCTCACATCCACCCGCCGGTTCCCGCCCGCAGCCTCGGGGAGGATTTCTACCGCGAGGCCATTGAGCACTGCCGCAGCTACAACGCGCGCCTGTGCGCCGAGCGCAGCCTGCGCCTGCCCTTCCTCGACTCGCAGACCGGCGTGGCCCAGAACAACTGCTACATCTGGATGGAGAAGACCCACCGCGGGCCCGGTACGGGTTCACGCTCGCCGCCAGCCACCGCGGCTGCCGGGAGGGCGCGCTGGGGCGGGGCGGCGGCTTTGGGCAGCATTCTTACTCTCCGTCTCGCCCAGGTTTGGCTCCGGGACAGATCTACACGTACCCGGCCCGCTGCTGGAGGAAAAAGCGGAGACTCAGTATCCTGGAGGACCCGCGGCTCCGGCCCTGCGAATACAAGATCGGTGCGTGCGGCTGAGCGGGACCCTGCACCTGTGGGTCTCCCCTCCCTCCCAGGCTGTGTCCCCCAGGGAGCCCCCCGCACAGTGTGTGTCTAAGCGCCCTGTGCTGCTGCTTCTAGCCTGGGTGGTGTGTTGGCAGCATCCTGCCTTGTCTTTCCCAGATTCTACAGTTTGCTCTGGGTCACTGAGTTTCCACAGGAGGGCCCAGCTGGGCCGGGGGGCATGACTGTAGATATGTGTGCCAAGGTAGGTGTGGCCTGCCAGCTGGCAGCCACCTGTCTGGTTGCCTTTCTCCTTGGTCAGCCCACGGTTTGCTCCCGATGCTTTGTACCTGTAGCTGAGCCCAGGTGTTTCCAGGTGCATTTGGAAGCCTCTTCTGACGTGTGTGTGTGTGTGTGTGTGTGTGTGAGCGAGCGCCTGGCTGACCAAGCCTTCAGCCTTCTTCTACCCCAGGCGTGTCCGGGTGCTGTGGGGTACCTGGGGGTTTCTGGCACAGCGGGCATCTTACTGCCCAGGTGTGCTAGCCCATCAGTGTCTGGATGAATGTCTAGGCATGTCAATGTTGCTGGTGGCTTTTTCCCGTCCTGGGGCACCCACAGGTGTGGGAGTGGACAGGAGAGCTGCAGTGGCCTCCAGTGGGCATCTGAGAGATCTGGAGGGCTCTCAGTATCTCCCGTGTGTGTGTGTGTGTGTGTACGCACAGGTGTGTGCATATGTGTGTGTGTGCATGCCTGTGTCTTCATCCAATGATCACCCGGGGGTGCCCAGATTCCCATAGAGTCTGGCTGCCCATGATACACCCAGGTACACTCATGTGGGTGTACCTGCTGGCCTGTTTCCCATGGCATCCCAAGGCCGGATATTTCTCCCACAAGTGTCCTGGGTCTCTGAATCTTTGGGTGTTTGCTGTCTTTGGTCTGCTGGTGCCACTTCCTTTGTGAGATTGTCCGAGATGCTCATGTCTCTCTTTGCTGTGTTTCCTGGTGTGGTGTGGGGGTATCTAGCACGTGTCTGGAGTCTGCCCTTGGGGTGGAGCTAGGCATTTGGCAGAGTCTGGCTGGGTGTGTCTGATGGTCTGTGTGTTGTGTGAGGGTTTCTGGGTGTATGCAAGGTCCTGGCTGTGCTTGCACCGCAGTGGGACCCGGTGGACGGCAGCGCGGCCAGGGGCTAGGCATCCCTGCCTGGAGTGGGGCAGCTTTGGGCTTGCGAAGCCAGTGCCCTGCTGACCCCATGGCCTTGTCCCCAGACTGTGAGGCACCCCTTAAGAAGGAAGGCAGCCTCCCAGAAGGGCCGGTGCTCGAGGCGCTGCTGTGTGCTGAGACGGGGGAGAAGAAGATGGAGCTGAAGGAGGAAGAGGCCATTCTGGACTGTCAGGTGGGTCCCGCCTGGCTGTGTCCCACACACCAGCTCCTTGCTCAGAAGCTTCCCGGTGTAGCCCCGTCTCTGCACAACCAGACTCCTCCCTTTTTTCTGAAAAAAATATTGATTTAAACTTTACTTAATGAGAGAGAGAGGGAGAGAGATCTTGTGCATGCCAAATGCTGCCACAGTTGGCACTGGGCCAGGCTGAACTCCCGAGGCCAGAATGCCATCCAGGTTCCGCACATGGGTGGCAGGGGCCCTAGCACCCTTGCCCATTGTGCCTGCTGTCTGTTCGGGCACCCATCTGCACTGAGATGGAACTGGAAGCAGGGCCAGGTGCTCTGGCCTGGGATGTGGGAGTCCAAATGCCCACCCAAGACCTCTTCCTCATCTTGGAGGCCCCAGGCCTCCCTCCCCTCATGCCCTGCTCCGGGCCGAGCTCCTCCCAGCCAGCCAGTCTACCTCCCGTTGCTCAGAAACAGCAGCTGCTTGAGTTCCCGCATGATCTGGACGTGGAGGACCTGGAGGATGACCTGCCTAGGAGGAAGAACAGGACCAAGGGAAAGGTATTGCCATCATGTCTGTGCCCTGCGGCCCCTCGCCCATCATGGCTGTGCCCTGTGGGCCCCTGTGCCTCGGTTCGCCTGTGCCTTGTGGCTACTGTACCTCATGGCCCATGCGCCCTTATTGTGCCTGTGCCCCTGCAGCCCTGTTGCCCCAGCACCCCATAGCCCCTTGCCCCTGCCACACTGTGCCCTGTGGTCCCTGAGCCCTGTCGCTCCTTGACCCCTTGCCCATTGTGCCTGTGGGCCCCTGAGCCCCGTGGCATGGTCTAGTGACCAAGTCAGCCCAGCACTTAGCCCCGGCCTCAGACCTGACCTTGTCCAATCCCTGAACAGCCTCAAGGAACCAGGGCTGTGAGACTCTTGACAGACTAGGAAATGGAGGCCCGTGTCCATGGAGGTGAAGTCATTTGTAGAGATTGTCCGGCTGGCCAATTAGGACTGTCTTCATGCCCCAGACAGGTCCCAGGCCCAAAGCTAGGATGTTCTGCCCAACCTCAGTGTGCCTTGCAAGTCACGGCAATGAAACTGTCTGTTCACGCATGACTGTGTCCCCAGGCATATGGCATCGGGGGGCTCCGGAAACGCCAGGACACCGCTTCCCTGGAGGACCGAGACAAGCCGTATGTCTGTGATAGTGAGTCCTGAAGAGGGGGAAGAGAGGCAGGGGGGCCTGAGACCTCTGCCCCTATGGTGCTCTCCCTCCTGGTCCCCGATAGTGGGGGAAGCTTGAGCCTGGGACAGAGTTGGGGGTGGGGGAGGGAGGTGAGGTGTGATCTTGGAGGCCAGGGTAGAGGTGGTGGTATGGAGGCTGGGCTGACCGGGACCCTCCCCATGGCTTGCTCTCCAGTCTGTGGGAAGCGGTATAAGAACCGGCCAGGGCTCAGCTACCACTACACCCATACTCACCTGGCTGAGGAGGAGGGGGAGGAGAACGCTGAGCGCCACGCCCTGCCCTTCCACCGGAAAAACAACCACAAACGTGAGCAGGCGGCCGGCCAGGTGGAGGCGGGGAGCAGGCGGGGGGGGGGGTCCTGCGAGTAGAAGCAGGGGGTGGGGGGGGGCACAGGAGACATTTCTGGAAAATCTCCAGCGCTGTGGCTCCCTCCCCCCACCGACCGTGGGGATGCTGGCTCCGGGGTTGCCATGGCAACCAACCATCTCTCCTTCGCTCCCGGCCGGCCGGGCGTAATATTTCTGGGACTGATTTATTGTTTCAATTAGAGCTTGGGGTTGGGGTGGGGGTGAGAGATGACTCCCCTCCCTCCCTACCTCCTTCCCCTTCCCCCACTTCCCTCCTTCACTGAGCTTAGGCCAAGGGGTAGGGGCTGTGGCCTGGGAGTCCTTGGCACCCGCCCCATGCCAACCCGGTGCCAGCCTGACAGCTGAGCGCTGGGGGAGGGGTAGAAACTGCCTCTTATCCATTCCCCAGGGATGGGGCGAGTGTCCTCAGCCCATCCCTGCGCTGCCCACAGCCGGCACCTGGCCAGGGACCTGGGCTGGGTGGGGGTGGTGGAAGGGTAAGGGCTTGGGTGGGCATTATCTGGTAGACAGTTTGTGGGGGAGGAGACAATGGCTCCTTTAAAGCCGTGCTTCCAGGTCTGCAGCCAATGAGCAGGACTGCTCAGTTGCCTGAGAAGGTGCGGGGAGGTCCCAGCCTGCGGCAGTTGCCCTCAGCCCACCCTGCCCCCAGCTGTAAGGCTGAGGCTGAGGCTGGGGGCTGGGCAGAACCTCTGGTGAGAACCCCTTTCTCTTTATGCCCCCACCCCTAGAGTTTTACAAAGAATTGGCCTGGGTCCCCGAGGCACAGAGGAAGCACACAGGTAGGCTGCCCTCGCTCCCCCTTCCGCAGCCACCTTTTCAGGGACACCTGCCGGGCCCCGCTAAGCCAGCCTGCTGTCTTTCAGCCAAGAAGGCACCTGACGGTACCGTCATCCCCAACGGCTACTGTGACTTCTGCCTGGGCGGCTCTAAGAAGACGGGGTGTCCAGAGGACCTCATCTCCTGCGCAGACTGTGGGCGGTCAGGTGACCCTCCCCCCTGAGATTCCGGGGGGGCCGCAGGCTGGGGGAGATGGACAGAGCGTGGTTGCTACACTTGGGAGAAAAGGACATCCTTGAGGGCACGGTGGGCAGCTGTGGGTGTCCACCCTGGGGCCATAGGTTGACTCACAAATGGACCAGCACTGCTGGAGCATCGGGTAGAATGAGTTTTTGGCTGCATGGAACCGAGGAGGTGTGGGGAAGGTGACCATGCCACCACGTTCCTGCGGTCGGTGGACGTGGTTGGCCGTTCTGCTGTGGGTAATGGAATGTGGCCGCCTCAGCGCGGTGGTTAACACACTGTGGTTGCCACGGTGTTGTGGGTGGTAGGAAAGTGGTTGCCACAGCACTGTGGGTAATGGAATGTGGTTGCCATGGTATTCAGGGAGCAGTGTGGTTGCCATGGCAGTGGGGTAGGACCTGGTGATGGCCACGGTACTGCTGCTTGCCATCCGTCCTCCTGTGTCTGGGCACTGAGGGCAGGGCAGGGTCATCCCCAAAACTCTTCCTCGTCCCCCGGTCCAGCGGGTGGACTGAGCCTCTCCAGGAGTCCAATAGCCTCCTAACTGCACCCCTGTCCCCCAGGACACCCCTCGTGTTTACAGTTCACGGTGAACATGACAGCGGCCGTACGGACCTACCGCTGGCAGTGCATCGAATGCAAATCCTGCAGCCTGTGTGGCACCTCGGAGAATGACGTGAGTGTCCGGTGCCCTTCCCCTGGGCCCTTTCCCCGTGTTAGTGGACGTTAAACTGAGCCACCTGGCACTTTCTCCTCCACTGCTCCCCAACACCCACCGAGGTAGGTGCCCTTGTTCTCACTGCACAGTGGGGACCTGGAGCTCAGGAGGGGGAATGTGGCCTGCCCAAGGCTGCCCAGCGGGGACAGTGGCAGGGCTGGGATCTGAAGCCATGGCCTTCCTGGTACCTGAGCATCTGAGAGGACCGGGAAGCGGTTGCCTTAGAAACACAGGCGGCAGGTGTCTGCCTGGCAGCCCATGGGGCGTCCCGGCTTGGCCACGCAGTGCTTTGTCAAGGCCCTGAGAGCCCCTTCTCTAGTGAGGGACCACCTCCCCTAGCCCCCTGCTCTGCCGCACCCCTGCCCCAGGCCCCCCACCCCGGTTTCTGGTGCCCGTGCCCCCAGGGTGCCAGCTGGGCGGGTCTCACCCCCCAGGACCAGCTGCTGTTCTGTGATGACTGCGATCGGGGTTACCACATGTACTGCCTGAGCCCCCCCATGGCGGAACCTCCAGAAGGTGAGAAGAGGCAGGTGCCCATGGGGGTAGGCAGTGGGCAGGCGGCCTTCCTCCCCCTCCCTGGGCCTGACTCTGTCCTGTGGCTGCCCCCACAGGGAGCTGGAGCTGTCACCTCTGCCTTCGGCACCTGAAAGAGAAGGCCTCTGCCTACATCACTCTCACCTAGGCCTGGCCCTACCTCTTCTGGGCCTCCGGGCTGGTGCTTGACCGCCTGCCTCTCCGAGCTCCTCCACTCGCTCCCTTGCCACCCTCCTGGCCCACACTGCTAGGGACACAGGGTGATGCCTGAGGGGGGGCTGGGCCAACCCTCCCCTCTCTGCAAGTGGAATGTTGGCCCCTGTGGGTTGGGGGCCCCAGGGGGGCCCCTCTCCCTTCCTCCCTCCCTCCCCATCCCTTGGCAAATGGGCACCAGGAACTTTTACTCCCCTCAAAGCCATACCCCGCCTCTAGGCGGGCATGGGGGGTTGATGGATGCCAGCCAGGGCATGGACAGAGCCTTTTTCTAAAGAAAAAGACAAAAAAGTAAAAAAAAAAAAACAAAAAAAGAAATTAATATATACAGAGCCCTCTAAGGCCTGGCTGGAGGGAGGGGCACTGCTGAGCGCATCCACTGGGCACCCATCTCTTTGCCAGCCTCCTGCCTGGTACCCCTCCTCCCAGAGCTATCCCATCTCCCCACCCCAGGTGGGCACCATTCCCTTGCTGTGAGCAGGCCTGGCGGGCGTGGTCCCCACCCCTGCCCCTCCCGGTGCCCGCTGTGGATACTGCATGTGAACCTGGATTTTTTTGAACTCTGTTCCTGCCCCTCCTTGACAGTCCTGCCCTGTGCCCCCCCCAATGCCCAACAGGGCTGGTGGGTGGTACCCGGCGGCAGGGCAAGGGGGGGACCCTGCCCAGCGCTCGCTGGAATGAGAAGCACAGATTGCAACGGACTCGTTGTCTCCTCCTCCCTTGCCCCTCCTCTCCACCCGGCCAGGCCGGACTGCCCCTGCCACCCTCGCTGGCCACTTTGGCAACAGCGAGGGGGTGTGGTTGTTTCTTGTGGTTGTGTGTTTGTTGTTTGGGTTTAAAAAAAAAAGGGAAATTGAGACTACAAGAGGGGGAGGTGGTGGGCTCGGGGGCCCACCCCAGGAAGGCCCCTCCTTGTAAGAGAGTCTCCTAATTATTGCCTGCCTCTGCTGTGAATTAACTTGTTCTGTGTATTAAACTGGGCCTGGCCCCTCTGCCACGACTGCCCTGTTCTCCAGCCTGGTTCAGGGGTGTCACCAATAAGAGGGATATGGGGCTTTGCTGGGGGAGAAGCCACTGAGTTGGCCTCCATCTCCATCGCCTCCTTCCAGCCCGCCACCCCCACCCCAGCCCTCTCTGGCTTTGTCCCAGCTCCTCCCAGCCTTGCCGGAAAGGAGAAGGGGGATGGGGTGGAGGGGGCTCCCACCCAGCCAGCTGTGGTTGCCCTGGCAACAGGCTGCTGCTGCTGCAGCTGCAGCGGGAAGCAGCAAGGAGGGGAGGTGACTGGGGGCTGGGGAAGGGGCTGGGAAAGGGCCCTCCTGGGCTGGGGCGGAGTGAGGGTGCGGGTATTGAGGTGTCATTCTGGCTGGCCATCACCTGGGGCACCCTGGTCTGGAGGTGGGGCAGAGCAAAGACAGAAAAGTGTCAGGGCAAGCAGAAGGAAACATCTAGACATTGAGAGAAAGGACTAAGATGGGGGGGGGTTTATGTGGTGGGGAGTGTGCGAGAAGCAGGACACGGGAGGGATGAGGAGCGTCACCCAGCGATTGGGAGAAGCGGACAAAGAGAGGCAGAGCGCCAGGTAGGAGGAAGGGGAGAGACATGGTGATGAAGGGAGAGAGGAAATCACAGCAATAAAAAATGAGCAGCCACGCTGGCCAGCCGGGGTGAGGCAGGGGAGGGATGCATGAGGGGAGGCCTAGGCTCAGTCCAGAACTTAGGAGAGAGTGAGGGGGCCCATCTGGGGAGAGAAGGACAGACGAGAGAGGCAGGCACCGGGAATTGAGGGGAACAGCAGAAAAATCTGGAGAGAGCTGCCCGAGGAGGTATGAAGAGAATTGGGAGGGCCTGGGTGAGGAGAGGGCAGAGGCTGGGGGAGGGCCCAGCATGGGCAGAGGGAGTTGAAAACTGGGCCAAGATGGAGAAGGGCAGCCCAGGCGCGACCGGCGGCTGGCGTGTGCGAGCTGTGGGGTGTTGGAAGTGGCTGGTGTGGCTCCAGGGTGCCAGGAGAGGATGTGAGAACAGCTTGTTCTGAGGTTTCCCTCCTCCCTGCACTGGGTGGCTGGGTGGGTGGCGGCAGGGCTCAGGGATGGGGCCTCATGGGGGCGGAGACTGGGAGAGTGGCAAGAGTGCTTGAAAATTTTTAAGAGACCTGGGAATGGTGGGTTCTCCTCTTTGAAATAAAATCCCCAAGCCTTTTGGAAAAAAAAAAAAAAATTTGGCCAGGAGGGTCTGAGTCAGAGGCAGTGGTTACAAGCTCCATGATGGAAAACTGAGAGACAGGTACCTGTGTGAGGCAGGTCAGACCCCTATGCCTGGCCGGCCTTGGCCCTGGGGGCTCCACATGGAATTCCCGGATCTGAAATCACAGAACCTCAAGTCCTGGCTGGACTCCTGAGTGTCCACGCGGCAGACCAGGAGGCAAGCAGGAGCACAGAGTTCAGGTCTTTCTCTGGCCAAAGGAACCCTAGAGGAAGACTGGGCAGCAGCCGAACCCACAGGCATACGTCACCATCTTTCTGGATGTTTTGCTGTGCCTCCCCTTGGCCTGGAAGCAGGAGAGGCTTTGGACCCCGGGCCACCCACTAGACGGCCCAGAGGCGGTGGCCTGTGCCCACCGATGCAGATGTGGGCAGGGTTGGGGGACAATGTACCGGATTCCATCTTAGTGGGCAGGATAGGGTAGCTGGCCTGCCTTATGCAATATCTCCTGACTTCTACAAGGTGGCTGATATTTTTTAAATGACCAACACAGCTGCATGACCTTGGCCTGTCTTTCAGGCCTCTAGCATGATTTTGGAAGAAAATAATCTTGCTGTTTTTGCATTAAGGGCGTTTTACATTTTGAGTCTGTCAGGATTTTTGGTGTTTGAGTTCCAAGAAAGAGATGTCTGCAAGGTTGGAGCCCTGGTTGTTGGGCAAGTGTGCGGTGTGTGATGTGGGTCTGAATGTATGGGGTGTGAAGTGTGTGCTCTGGGAAGGTAAGATGTGTGTGACGTACATAAATGAAGTGTGTGACATGTATGTATGTGATATGTCTATGTGATACGTGTGGTGTATGGGGTCTGTGTGTATGTGGGGTGTGTGATGTATGGGGATATATGGGGAATGTGTAGGATATGTGGGGTGTGTATGAACGAGATGTGTGTGGTGTGTGACGTATGTGATGTATTGGGTGTGTGTATGGAGTGTGATATGTGGGGTATAAGGTGTGTGTACAATGTGCATGATGTGAGGTGTGTGTGTGTGGGGTGTGGTTGGGACTAGGACAGGAGGGGACAGCAGCGGGCCATACCCTCTGGTCAGCAATCCAGGTAGTGCCCAGCTACTGAGAACACAGACCATTACTATGAAACATTTATTTCCTTTGAAACCTCCAGAAACATGCCAGAAAATCTCAAGACAGGATTGAGGGGTGGGGTGGTGTGGGGTAGGGGGAGAAGACAAAGAATAAAAAAAAAATCCAAATAAAATCAATCAACATATGAAAAAAATCTGCTGCTATCTTCAGCCATCAGATAAAACAACCTCAAGTTAAATAGATTGGTTTTGCACATTTTCTTTAAAAATAAAACAAAACCAGAAATCATAATTTACACTTCTCAATGTACATGATTAGGTCCCCAAATGATTAGAATGCTCTGAAGATGTGAGGAGACAACTTATGAAAGGCTCCAGGTTAGAGTCCCAGGAGGGCGGGGCGGGAGCCCTGAGTGGGAGCGGGCAGAGGAAGAGACATCACAGTAGTTGGCCAGGGGTGAGGGCGGCTGCTGGACAGGCGTGGCCTGGGCAGTGCCCATCTCTCGCCATGGCTGCGGGGCAGGGGAGACCATGGTGCTGAGGTTCCCTTCGCAAAACTGAGGGTGCTGGGAGGCCACAGGCAGGCCACAGGGAGACACTGAGTGCCCTCTTCTCTGGCCCCCCAGCCCTCTGGCTGGGCACCTCCCCGAGGGCCTGTGTCTGGTCTGGTGCGGCCCCCAGGGCCCCCTCCCTGAGGTGCCTGGCCCTGGAGAGAAGGCAGGCAGTGTGGTCTGGCCAGGGGGGCTGGAGCGCTGACATGTTGCTGTGAACCAACCCCGAGCTGCCGGCTCCACTCCACCTGGTGCCTTCCCCAAAGGGAAGCCACCTGTCCACCAACTCGGACTGTCCTCCTGGAATCCTGCCATGGACCCCAGCCCATGGGGGACACACCGTGAGCCTCAGCTTGAGGTTTGGGAAATACACAGATTGTGGCCATATAGACTTGTTCTGGCGCAACTCTACATGAAAAAATAAATATATATATATATATCTTCTTGTTTGCTCTTCAAGGAGGAGAGAAAGCGACCCTCAGTTCTAGGTGAACGGCGTCATGCGCACGGCTCCGGGGCCTGGTGCGTTGCCCCTTACTGCCTGTCTGGAGTTGGGGGGAGGTGTTCTCCCTGGGGAGCACAGTGAGGGTGTCTGGCACGGCTGCCAATGGGGGCGGGGCTTCGAGATGGGCTGGGACACTTGCAAAGAAAACAAAATCCGATGACAGATGAAGGCTCTGTTGTTAGGGTGTCAGTAGGCCTTCCAGGAGTCCCTGTGGCTGCCAGTCAGGGCTGGGTGTGGTGGGGAGGAGGACGAGAGAGCCGGCTGGCAGGGACCCTGGCACTGTGGCCTCTGGCGGTGGGAGAAGGGCTAATAGAAAAGGATCATATAAAGTGTCTGCTTTGTACACAGCTTCTCGCTCAGAGAGGCTGCCTCTGGATGCTGGGGTTTCCTTTCCATTGTGGGGCCCTCAAGAAAATAATTTAAATTCTAAGAAAGTGCTCCTGGCTGCTTGGCGGGAAGAAGGAGAGGCCTGCAGAGGGAGTCTGTCCATGCTCTTTGGAGCTGAGCTGGCATGCTGCAGAGCAGAGTACTGGCCCAGCTCCCCCAAGGCCCTCACCTCCCTGGGCTGCTTCTATGCGGTGTTCTTCATGCAAGCCCACACTTCGTGGTACGTGGTCAAGAGGCCTGGCCGTGAGCAATGTGTGGGTTCTGGAGACCGGCTTCCGCTTTCCATTGACTGGGTCCTAGGAGGAGGCTGAGGAGCATGGCAGGGTAGGCCACTGGGGGCAGCGTGGGCATGGTCCTGCCCTCAGGGCCTCAGATGGGTGGCTCCGAGGAAGGCCCAGACTATGTCACTCTTGGGCTTGCGGCCGTGGGGAGGCCTCCCTTGGGGCCTGTGGCCAGCCTGGGGTTTCCAAGTTCATTGGGAGGTCTGTGGAAGCTCTGGGCCCTGGATGGATCATCTTGGTCACAGCTGCAGCAGCTGGGCGCCAAGGATGAGTGAGAGGAGAACAGGAGGCAGTAGCTCCTGCAGGCAAGGCGTCAGGGGCCCGGAGGAGGGTGGCGGGCAGGGTGTTCCTTCTTGCTCACAGGTCCTTTTTCTCCCTGCAGAAGATCTCCGCGAACTTGCGCAGCTGCTCACTGGCTGCCTGGGACTCCTCCTGCAAGCGCTGGTTGTTCTGGCGCAGGCTGGCCACCTCTGACTGCAGCACCACCTTGTCCTGCTTCTCCTGAGGGGGTGGGAGGTTTCAGTGTCAGGTAGATTGGGCTTGGATGCTCCAGGGAGCACTCCCAGGGTGTGGGGTGGGGGCAGACCATGAGTTGGGGCTGTGTTGCAGACTAGTTCTGTTTAAGACACTTGGGGAGAGTCACAGGATCTCACTGGAGCCCCGGCTCCCTCAGCTCTAAAAGGGGTGGTTGAACAGCTATGCCGAGGTCACGTAGGTCAAGCTTGACATGGAGCAGTTACCTGACAAGCATCACTATTAGCAACGACCTCATGCCACCCTCCCAGCTGCCCTGTTATTCTCAGCGCTCTGGAAGGTTTGGGGGAAGTGGGGAAGGAGGAGGGCAAGCCTCCTAGGGCGAGGCTTGGGATGTGTGTCCCAGCAGGTCCCACTGCCTCCTCCGACAGCCGTATGGGAGGACATCACATCCTAGGCAGGGACTTGCCCACAGTCATACAGTATTAGGCTCTGGAAGAGAGGGGAAGGGGACGGACTTGAACTTGGGCCCTGACGACCTCTGTGCTTGAGGGCTCACACATCATACTCGGCCAACTTTGTGCCTTTTACTCCAAAGGACACACACAAAAATCTCTGCCCTCATTTCTGTTTTCCTCCCGGTGGTGGAGAGAAGCAGAGTAACCCTCTAAGATACCCCTCTCTGCCCATGGGAGTTAAACACTTAGCCTTTTTTTTTTTAAGCATAAAGACATTCTAGGAAACAATTCTACTTGTTGCGATTTACTCTGCATGTTAGCAAATCTGGATTTACCACTGTAATGGGCCACAGGCCCCAGCGCTGCCTACAAGCACTGTGACTTAGGGCTCTCTTCTCAGGCTGATGGACAGTGCACTGGGACCTCCCCACCACAGAGCAGCGAGGAACACCCTTGCTGTGGGTCCCTCTGTGCCCACACCGGAAATCTACACAAATTCCCTCACAAGCAAAAACTGCTGGATCAACAAGATGTGCCATTACATCTTTGATAAATGTTTCCAACTGCTCTGCGAAGAGCCTGAGCCCATTGATTTGAGAAAGTGTGCCTCCTGGTGTGCTTGCTGGCCTTTGGCTCTTCAGAACCCAGCCAGGAATGGAGGTGCGGGGGGTGAGGGAGCGCGTGGTGGCCTAGAGGGCTGGGAAGTGGGACAGGGAGGTGCACGCACGCAGCCTTACCTTCTGGAGATCTGTGTGCAGCTGCTTCAACATCACCTCCAACTGGTACACCTTGCCTGTCAGATCCAGGGGTGGCTCCTCGCTGCAGAGAGAGGGGATGAGGTCAGGCCTGCTCAGAGCACAGGTGTCTCTTATTCCTGGGCTGCTGCTAAGCCCTAGTCTTGCTGGAGTCCTCAGGGATGCTTGGAGGAGAAGCCATATGACAACCCCCCTTCTGGCCCCAGTCCCACCCTTCCTCCCAGGGCTACCCTGCACTGGGGAGCGGGGACAAAGGCACAGGGTGACAGGCCTGCCCTGAGGTGTGCACTTTGTGTGTCTTTAGGGAAACTCCTTCCAAAGCAGACGTGGCCTGCTCCTGGGGACAGGACTGAACTGTCCAGCCATTGCTGGCAGCCCGCTGGGCTGCAAATACCATCAGTCCCTGTCAGTCCATTCTCGCTCTGGCTGCCCTGGAGGGTGTCATGCTGTTCCCTGTGCAGGCAGGGAATGTCATCATCCAAGTCTTAGTGCTGGGGTACAAACCCAGGACCCCTGTCCTGGGACTCCCTGGAACAGTCTCCCAGCCATGGACCTGCCAGACACAGCCTCTCCCGCAGCATAGCAGTACCAAGCGACACCGCGAGGTTCTCATGGTGACTGTGGGTCCATATCAGGGGTGGAGGAGGTGGCGCAGTAAAGCCAGTATGTGAAGCCAAAAACCCAACAGGAGTCAATCACTCCAGAAGCTGGTTTTGCCCGGCACAGGGTGCAGCTACGGCACACCAAGAGAGCAGTGAGTGTGGCATGAGCGGTTTTAATCCATGGACAGGCACATCATGCTGGTTCCATTCTTTCTGTCTCTTTTAATGTTGTTCTCTGCCGAGTGAGTGAGTGCAGCTGAGTGTGTCGCACTGAAGGTGAGAAGCCATGTGTGAGGTGACAGTTAGATGTGAGACATGTGTGGCTCCCTGTCCTCCACTGCTCTTCCCATGGAGGTCTCCTGAGGGTACCCGGCAGGGAAGAGGTGAAGGGTTGGTGGCAGGTGGAAGCCTGCCACCTCCAGGGACCCATCGAGGAGGAGGCTGAGGAGCAGACAGACAGTGGGGAGGCTGGGGACCCCAGACAAGATGTTTCAAGGTTGGAAGTAGAAATGAGCAGCATGCTGACTGAGGCTCTGTTGCCACTGGATGTGGCCACGGGAGGTGCTCAGGGCATAGGTGGTGTGAGGAAGCCGGTCTGCCAGGCGTGGGGAGTTCGGGCTGTGGGAATGGTGTGTGTGAGTGTGAGTGTGTGTGTGTGAGTGTGTGTGTGTCCCGCAGCAGCCGCTTTCCCTGCGGCTCCCTCTTCCACTGTGCAATCCTGCTACTCACAGGTAAGCCTCACCTCATGGTAGGGGTGGTCCTGGGGGTCTGGGGCCCCCTGTCCAGACTCAGGTGACTGTGCACTGGACTATGTGCAGGTTGGATGTCCGGGCTCAGGGCTGGGTCATTTAGAGAGAAGAGTGAGACGGCTCTTTGCACTGCCGGGGAAAAGAGAGAGGGTTGAGCTCCCCACAGAAGGGAACCTGGACAATAACTGTAGCACTGCCATTTTCCACATAGCATTTAACACACACTGCTATTTGCTATCTGCCATCTCCAGACTGCACCCAGTACTCCTGAATGAGAATAACTGATACAGCTGATTTTCCTCCTTGTCTTGGATCTGCTGAAAACATTTCCATAGGAATAATTTCCAACATCCCTCCAGGCAGAGAGGGTCACATCACGGCACGTGCTGGAGTCCAGCACTACTTTCCAGCATTTTTAATGCATGGCTACTCTGGCTTCCTCACCTGCACCTCCTTCCACTTCCTCCAGTTACCCCTCTGGCTTACTGATGTGCACCCAAGTACATGTGCTTAAGGTGCACCATCAGGTTTATCCTGCCATGGGTACACATGCTCTGAGTACCACATCTGGGATGGACAGTACACTAAGCTTCCTCCAGCGAGTCATCCCTGGCTCAACTTTTATTTTTTGGATTTATTTATCTTTACTGGAAAGGCAGATCAGATTTACAGAAAGATCTTCCATCTGTTGGTTCACTCCCCAAGTGACCACATCAGTCAGAGCTGAGCTGATCTGAAACCAGGAGTTCAGGAGCCTCTTCTGGGTCTCCCACACGGGAGCAGGGTCCCAAGGCTTTGAGCCATCCTCGACTGCTTTCCCAGGCCACAAGCAGGGAGCTGGATGGGAAGTGGAATAGCCGGGACATGACTGGCTGGGATCCCAGCACTTGCTAGAAGAGGATTTAGCCATTGAGTCATAGTGCAGGGACCTAAGCTCACTTAAAAAAAAATTACTATAGTAAAGCCACCACCTGCCATGCTGCCAGTCCACGTGGGTGCTGCACTGTTCACTGCCATCCTGTGAGGTGCTTTGCTGCTCCACTTCCAATCCAGCTCCCTGCTAAATGCACAGGGCATGGCCTGAGTACTTGGGCCTCTGCACCCACATGGGAGACCCAGAAGAAGCTCCTGGCTCCAGATCGATTCAGCTCCTCCTGTGGTAGCCATCTGGGGAGCCAACACTGGAGTGAAAATCTTTTTTCTCTTTCTCTGCCATTCTCTTTGTGATTAATTAAATCTTAAAAACTTACTTTGAAATTTACAGAGACTTGGGGACAACAAGAATGAAGGGATGTATGGACCAGCTTAGAGGCTATTTAAATACCCAGTCTCTACTTGACGTTACCCCCTGAATTGTAGCAATCACCAGACGGCCTGGCGTGCACTGTGTTCTTACTGTGTTGTTCTAAGGACTTTTTCTCCGTCTCCTTCTAGAAGTATTCACTGGAAGTATTCTGTAAGGAAGCCATTGCGTTGTCATTTGTCTATTCAGTTACTCACAGGAATATGAACTCATTGACATTTATTTCATTCTCTGTGTTAGAATCCATTATTATTATTATTTTAAATTGGGAGGCAGAGAGGCAGAGTTCCCACCTGCTAGTTTACTCCCAAAGGTCCACAGCCACTCGGAGTGCAGAGCTGGGAGTCAGGAACTCAACGTAGGTCTCCCATGTGGGTGGCAGGAACCCAGTCCCATCCCTGGCTGCCTCCCAGGCTGTGCATTAGCTGGGAGCCTGAACTGGAGCTGGAGTGAGCATATCCTGATTGGAGTCCCTCCACCCACCCCCAGCTGTCCCAATTTTAGCCACTGGAGCTCTTGTTGGTTTCTCATTCTTTTTAATCCACTTTTATATATATTTTTGAGCATTTCCTTGCTTCCTGGTGCCACAGTATATACCTGTCTTTACTCTTTATTTGGAATATTTTCAAGTAAGTCCTATAGGTCTTACTTCACCTAAAGAAACTTCAGTTCCTCCCGGAGATAAGTACCTACTGCAATCCCCCACCCCCATAGCCGAACTCCATCTGGGGAACATACCCACTAAAGTTAACCAGATATTCTTTCATCTTTCCCACTTATTTGAGTGGCACTGGAAAATCCACACATCTCCTCATTTAGAGAACTAAGCCCGGGGCGTGTCCAGGCTGGCGGCCAAGTCATCAGGGAGGACACCTGCACCCTATCAGAGTGTTGGCCTCTGGCACCTGCCTCCTGCTTTTGGCTTCAGCTTCCTGCTGACACAATGTGAGGCCTGTGGCAACCTTCACTCCAGCTGTGGCATCTTCTTGCCCACCACCTGGCTCCTGCATCTGAGGTGTGAACCAGTGGATGGAGCTTTTTCTCGCAAATAAAAAAAATGAGAACAGACGGCCAGCCAAGGCAGCAGGAAGTTAATCACTTATCAGGCAGTCCCTGCACAGGACAGTGCATGCCTTGGGAAGCATCCTTACAGGGAGGTGACACGCTCCTTTGTCCTGTTGGCTGGAGCAGGATGTGAGGGCTTTAGCTCTCACAGCCCTCTAAGATGGTGAGGCAATTCCAGGTCTGTGGGCCCCACTGAGTTTGTGGAAGCGCCGCACAGTCTCTGAGGGTGTACCCAGGAATTTCAGCTGCCTAAAGCCTCACTCTTCTTCAGCATCATCTCAGGTGCTTGCTGCTGGTCAGGCAGAACCTTCACTGCAGCCAGGTGGCTGCCATGGTCACCTTTGGTAACTGTGGATTAGACAGATGATGACGCCAGCCGAGGGTTGTATGGTGACAGGGCACGCTTTGAACCCTGGTCCTGAAACACGAGTGGACACCCCAACAAAACCACACGGTCTTCCAGAACAGAGAAGGATTTGGGAAGTCCAGCCAGGGGTTGGTGCAAGGTGCCTACCTTCGTATGCCTTGGCCGCATTGACCAGGCTGGACCACTCGAGGCCAGCGGCCGTATCAGGCAGTGGCATCATTCCTGGGTCAAGGCGCCGCAAGGGTCGGTCCCGCCCGTCAGCCAGTGACAGCTCTGAGGCCGAGATGGTAGCTGCATGGGCAGAAAGAGACGGGGCGGGGGAGAGGGCTGAGCGTGATGACGTGGCAGGGGCCAATCAGCAAACATGTCATTTTGTTTATGAACACCGAGCATGCCAAGAAAAGCCTCCTGCCAGGTGAGGGGACCGTGCGGCGCAAACTACCGGGCCCCAACTTGATTTTTTTTTCTAGTGAGAACAACTGGGCTTCACCCTGAATTTCTTTTCTTTCCTCTCTCTTGGCTCTCTCCCCGTCTTCCATCCTCTTTCCTCTGTCTCACTTTGCTTTTATTTACTTACTTGAGAGGGAGGGAGACGGACAAGAAACCTCCCCTTTGCTGTCTCCCAAATGTCTGCACTGGCTGCCACCAAGCCGGGCTGACCCTGGAGATGACCACATCTCCATGTGGGGAGCAGGGGCCTGACTCTTCAAGCCATCACCGGGGCCTCCCCGGGGTGCACAGGGGCAGGAAACCGGAGCTGGGGCCAGTTTTTTTTTTTTTTTTTTTTTTAAGATTTATCTATTTTGGGCCCAGCACAATGGCTCAACTAGCTAATCTTCCCCATCCAAATACCAGCATCCCATGTGGGCTGTGGTTCATGTTCTGGCTGATCCAATTCCCATCCAGCTCCTTGCTTGTGGTCTGGGAAAGCAGTAGAGATGGCCTAAGTCCTTAGGTCCTTGCATCCTTGTGGGATGCAAGAGATTTCTGGCTCCTGGCTTCATATTGGCTCAGCTTTAGTCATTGCAGTCACTTGGGGCATAAACCAGTGGATGAAAGATCTTTCTGCCTTTCCTTCTCTCTGTAAATTTGCCTTTCCAATGAAAATACTCTTTAAAAATAATTGTCAATTTTTATTTCAAAGAGTTACAGAGAGAAGGAGAGAGAGAAAAATGCCTTCTATTTGCTGGTTCACTGCCCCAGATGGCGGAGATGCCCAGGGCTGGGTCAGGTGAAAGCCGGGAGCTTCAACCTGGGTCTCCCACATGGGTGGCAGGGACCCCAGTACTTGGGGGCATCTTCTACTTCATTCCCGGGGCATTTTCAGGGAGCTGGACTGGAAGTGGAGCAGCTGGGAATCAAACTGGCACCGATATGGGGTGTCAGCATGGGGCCAAGTTTTGAATCTAGGTGCTACAAAGTGGTACAAGTGCATCCTAAATGGTTGGCCGAACTCTGGTCTGGTGTAACTTTAAACAGGGTGCTGGGGTGGGGCTTGTTGGCATTGGAGCAAAGTTCTAAATGAGGGAAGGGGCGGGGGAGCCAGGGAGGGATCTAAAGGAAGAATATTCTAGGTAGGTGAAGAGTCAGAGTAAAAATGTCTGAGGCGGGCCCGGTGCTGTGGCCTAGCGGCTAAAGTCCTCGCCTTGAACGCGCCAGAATCCCATATGGGCCCAGCGAGCCGCCAGTGCAGAGATACCCACCCCAGCCCAACAGCTCACCTTTCTTCTCCGGGAAGCCGTTGCCAGCAGCAGGGATGGCACTGTGGCCACTAGGGACGCCGCCGGGTGGGAGGGAGTGCTGGTGCTGGCGGCGGGCGGGCAGCGTGCTGGCAGGGAAGGCGCAGGCGCTGGTGAAGAGCACATCGCTGGGCAGCCCTGGCTCCAGGCTGCCAGTGTTGGCGAAGCTGGGCTCCCGGCGTCCACTGCACAGGCTCTCATCTGACAGTGTCCGCTGCAGGCTCTTCTGGGGCGACTGCTGCTATGACAGGAGAGGGATGTGGGGTACGGTCACAGCTAGTCCTGGGAAGGCCTGTGGTAGGTCCATTCCCACTCTTTCTCACTGAGGTGTCCCCTTTCCTTGTGGGGATGTCTCTCTCTGACCTGGCAGCTGGAGGGTCCTGCTGGGCCACTCCCATCCTGTGGCTCCAGTCAAGGAGCCACTTGGGTTTGTCTCCCTGCGCATTTACCCTCGAGGTCCATCAGGGACAGGCAGGGACAAGAGATGCAGAGCCAGCGACAGGGCAGGCACCATGGCCTCCACAACCCTTACGTAACTGGAATCTCAATTTCCTGGGAGAACCTCTGCTTCCCTTCTGGCCCTTGCAACTTGGAGGGAGTGGGCTGGTTCCAGCCTGGACTCTGGAAAGGATGTGGGAGAGACCCAGGGCTTCCCAGTTGCATCTTGCCCTTTATTGCCAAATAAATCCCACATGAGGCACCTGGGCTATGTGCCATGCAGATTCTATCCCTTGCAGGATGCCCTCACTTGTAGCCACCAGTCCACATGCATCCAGATGGCACTAAGGGTGGCAGGCTGAGGATGTAGCCACAAACAGACTGTGATTCCCCTCCTTGGGGCCCCCGATTCCACTAAGGCCTAGGGGTGGCCTGTGCATACCCCCGCGTCTCTCTCCTGCTCTGGCCCCAGGTTGTCCATGATGATGAGCTTCTTTAGGTCGTCCTCAATGGTGGACTTGTAGTTTTTGCGTGGGGACCGGAGGTCTCGGAGGGACGCCCTCAAGCGTGGCTGCCCGAAGACATTTTTGGTGTTTGTGTCCACCTGCCTGGAATGACAGTGTTGGGGGTTAGGAGGGTGTCAGGAAGCCCACACTACCTTTCAGAGCTGTTTGGGTTTTGGGGGGCTGGCCACCACTGGGCGAGGACTGTAGCCTTCATGGCCGCAGCTGCTGGGGGTGATGGAGAGCTGGCTTATGTTTCCCATCCTTTCTGATTCCTCAGAACCCATTCTGAGCTGTGCCTATGCCAGGCACTGGGGCATGGCAGCAAACATGAAGCCTACCGCAAAGAGGGGAGGTGGATGTTGCACAAAGTGAGACTGAGAGACCTGCTTGACCCTCTTTGGAGCAGAAAGATGTTTTGAAGACAAATATAGCTGAAAAAGGATGAGGATCGATGGGGACTTGGGGCTGCCACCTGAGCAGATACCTGGAGGGAAAAGGGAAGCAGAACAGCTTCCAGGAGGAGGCCATGGTGGGCTTGGGATGTGACAGCCAAGTGAGAAGCTGAGTGGTGCGAGGCAAGGCCTGGGAAAGGACAGCCAAATGGGCACTGATGAGCTGCCAATGGCACTCTAGACTGCCCCTAGAGAGACTCAGATTGATGCTGGACAGAATATCGCTGGCGGATGGCGAGCTGGGTCTGACTCCTGCTGCTGTCTGCTCCTGCTGTGTGGGCCTTTGCTGCCAAGCGCACAGCCAGCATCTGACCCAGAACAGCCTGACACCCTGCACGGCATACAGATCCCTACCTCCCACAAGCTGCTCAGTGCCCCTAGGACGAGGATAACACCCATTGCCCAGTCTTCGGGCCAAGCCTTACTTCCCAGGTGACAGCTAGGACCCTGACTGGAGGCACAGGCCCCCGGTTCCAGGAAAGAACCAGAGCTGACTGGTAGTCCTCACACTGCTGCAGCTGCTGCAAAGGGGTCACCTGGAGCCATTATCCCCATTATGCAGGGTGGGGAACTGAGGCACACGGATGGAAGCAATGAAGGCACGGTGGTGTTAAATCCCTCGTCTCAAGTCACACCGCCCCAGGACGGAGGAGTTGGGATTCCCATCAAGGCCACTGCTGAGGTTGCCTGGCTTGTTCACATCATAGAGGCGGCAGCCAAAGAGCAGACAGCAGGGAGGGACATGGTCACGTTTGATTAAAACGCCTGCTTCCGCGGCAGAAAATCATTTCCGGATTATGAGCAAGAGCTACCTGTGGGGAGGCAAAAGCCTCATTAGGAGGCGGGAAATGGGACGGGAACTTTTCATCCCGTCATTCTTCTGAACTGTCTGAATTGATTTCACCATTGTCCTGGGTTGTAACAATAATAATAGTAATAATAAAAAAACGGACTTTAAAAAAAAGTCGACACCCAGACTTCATCATTCTGTAACTCGAGAGGGAAAAAGCGCCTTTGAACCCAGAGGAAAAAATAAGATGTCTTGGTCTCCTGTGGGTTTTGAAGTCTGTGCCTTTTTCCCCCCTCTCAGCTGTGGGATCTCAACAAAGCAGAGAAGAGAAGGGTGGCAAAGGCTTTTCTTGTCAGGTCATATTCCTCCCCAAATTAGAATCTCAGGTCTGCGGTAATGCTGGCTCCCCGGATACCAGGGAACTGTGCTCTCTGGGCCAATTAAGGGCTTTAGATGTGAAAGGGAGAAACAGAAAGAAGACACAGAAAGAGAAACACACACAGACCCCAAAGGGTGACTGTTCCTCTGGTGGATGCTGCAAAAGACTCCCTCTCCCCTCCCACTTTGATGTGGACACTTCCCAGAAGCCCCTGCAAGCAGGGCAGCCCAGCCTCAGCACACAGAGAGGGGCATTGTCCTTTAGACGCTCCTCCAGAGCCAGCTGTCGAGTGGCCACTCTTCCTGGCCCAGAAGCTCTGCTGTGGAAAGGGTGGCTTTGGACCCATGGGGCCACAGTATGGGGCACTTCCCTGTGTGTACAGCAGATGTCAGCTAGGTGGGACCAGGGAGGGGAGGCAGGGCAGTGGGGCCCATCCTCTCAGCCCAGAGACCCAAGCTTATGGACTGTGGGAAACTGTTCTTGGAAAACACAGGGGTTGGTGCATGGTGTCGGCATCCTACATGGGTACCGGTTTGTGTCCTGGCTGCTCCACTTCTGATCCAACTAATGGCCTGGGAGAACAGCAGAGGAAGGTTCAAGTCTTTGGGCCCCTGCACCCATGTGCGAGACCTAGAAGAAGTTCCTGGCTTCTGAGAGGCCTAGCTCTGGCTTTTTGTGGTCATTTGGGGAGTAAATTAGCAGAAGGAAGATCTCTGTTCCTCCCTCTCTCACTTTCATGCAAAATAAATAAATTAAAAACAAACTACACAGCTTGGGTTCGCTTACTGGAATTTTACCAAACTCCTGTTTCTATGGATGCATGTGTGGGAATTCAGTTTCTAAAAACTTATCCCTTGTACAGTCCAAGAGGTCTCACACAGTCTCCCCTGTCCCTTCTCTGCCCTCATCTCTTTCTATACAGGCAAACAGGGACAGACAGGAAGAGGTCTATCCACAGGTTCACTCCCTGAGTGGCTGCAGAGGCCACAGCTGCGTCATGCCAGTGCCTGAAGCTCTGTCTAGGTCCATAAGGTGGGTGGTGGGCAGCTACCTTCGCAGGGAAGTGAACTGCAGGCAGAGCTGCTGGGACGTGAAGTAGCGCTGTGACATGGGATGCTGACCCTCATCCCACCTGTGGCGCTGAAACACCTGACTTTGCTTTTAGCTGCTTTTCAGTGCCTACAACACTGCCAGCCCTGTTCCCGTGCCAGACACCATTGCAGGGGAGGTGGCTGGGAGCGGAACACAGACATATAGTATAGAAGATGAGTTGTCACATCAGACAGAGATGCTGTTCAAAAATTAAGCCAAAAGAAACACAGACATTGTCTTTCTGATATCTTCTGTGTCCATTTGCCGACATCATCTTCCGCAGCTCCGAGTCGAACGGAGTGTCCTAATTCTGCAGTGGAACACTGGCATTCTAGATACTTTTCCTGCAACCCTCCAACCTGCTCATCTCTTCACAGCTGCTATCATCAGTCGGCTGCCAGGGACGTGTTCTGAAGGATCATGAGCAAGCTCAGTTTGGTGAAACAAGTTTCTTACATTTTTTCTATTAGCTTATTAGAAAAACTAGTCGATCATTTTTGTTTTCCTTTTTCTTCTCCAAGAATTTCCCTGTGTGTTTTTTTTTTCCCAGTGTACTTTCTAACTTGAAAATCCCATGCAAATGAGTTAAAATGTCATTAATTCTAAGTTAAAAACCAAACCAAACCCAAACCAAACCCAAACAAACTAGCCCTGTACATCTCGTTTGCCTCCTCCTCAGTCTGGCCTCCATAACAAGATCTAATGACCTTCCAGGGCCAAATGAGCTGTTCTATGACTATTAGCAGAATACGATCACTTTCTATGCTCCAAGGTGGAATTAAAGCTGAGACGAAGAGGAAAGAGCGAGTGAGAATGGCAGGAAGTATGCACACAGGAGGTGACCATTTCAGTGATAAAAAGAGAAGCCCACTGGATTGGGTGTGCTGTGTCAGGTTTGGAACATTTCTGGAAGGATGCAGAAGAAAAGAAACCCTGGTTGTTTCTGAGGAGGAGAGCTGGAGGCCAGGAAGTGAAGAGAGACGGACTTTGTACCATCAGCCGCTTTTGTGCTATTTTGGTTCTTATTCTGTGTATGTTTTATCTTTCAGAGCATAAATGAAGAAAACATCCTGAAGCTTCTGATGACACCAACTGATTTGTCCATGTTGTCTAAATTTGGGTTTTGCCATAGAACTGACCCATAGAATTAGAGAAGTGTATATAGTTGGAACCTAGAGAAGAGCAACATGTTTTAAAAAATGAAAAGTGGCAACAAACTGAGTAAACAGATCTCCACTGTAACATTCCTTGAAATTCTCCTGTCCTGTAACTAACCAGAGTACCTGTTACAGAAAGACGCTCAGGGTAAAGTGGTAGCTCCTGACACCACCATCCCATATTGGAGTGCTGGTTCAAATCCTGAATGCTCTGCTTCCAATTTAGCTCTCTGCTAAAACACCTGCCAAAGAAGTAGAAGGTGATCCAGGTAGGGTCTCTGCCACCCAGGTAGGATACCCAGATGGAGTTCCTGGTTTAAGCTTGGCCCATATGTGGTTCTTCTAGACACCTGGCAAATGAACCAGCAGTTCAAACAGCTGTGCCTGTCTCTCTTTGCCTTTTAAATAACTAAACAAATAAATCTACTGGTTCACTGCTCAAAAGAGCCTGGAATCAAACCAAGACTCCCAGACGGGAAGCAAAGACCAAAGAGTTTGAGCCATCCCCTGCTGCCTCCCAGGGTGTGCTCAGCAGGAAGCTAGGATCCTAAGTGGAATGGGAGTGGGACTTGAGCTCAGGTACCCTGGGACGAGATGTGCACCTCCGAAGCCGGGGTTTAGCCACTGTGCCACATATCTGCTCCACAGTGACGTCCTTCTCCTGTGACAGAAGGCCCAGAACTGGAAGGAAACCAGTGGGTCAGACTTGGCTAGCCCCAATCCCAGCTGACTGGAGCTCTGGCTTCCAACTGGGGTGGATCCCTTGGGCCAGGGCTAATTGAACTAATTAAATAGCACCATGGTAAGCCTGACTGAGCTGGGGGTTCTGCCAGGGTATCTGGCAAGATACTTGTTAGAGTTGCATCCTGGGCAGCAGGTGGATTTTCTTAGAAGGATGGCAGGAAGAGGCCAGTGGGAAGAGGTGACAACTCCGAAATGTGCACACGCGTGTGTGCATAGGGAGGCTGGGTTTGAGGAGTAGCCTCTCCTGGCTACACAGTGTTGATCCAGGTATCCCTAAGCCAAGGAAGGAGGGAGCCAGAGTGCCAGGTGTCAATCAGGTGCTGCCAGGGTCCCTCAGCCCATTGAACCCTCACCCCACCTTTAGAATGTGGCTATTTCCCCATTTTCCATGTTGTGATTGGGGAAACACTCAGAACCTCTAACTGCCCAAAGCTCTGAACTACCCAGAATTCACTTGTGGTAAAAGTGCTCCACAAGTGGTCCCAGAA